TGATTCAACGATTTGTTATCTTACTGTTGCACAGGCGGTCATTATTTTTTAGCAGCTTCATCGTCATATCTTTTGCTATGACGTCGTTTTTCGTTGTCGTGCGTTATCATTTGGTTACTGATAATTTTACTCTTAAAAGAGAACGTGTAGCTTCACATCATTCGAATACAACCTTCTCTAACAACTAGCTAAGCTCTTTAAAACAACTAATGAACAATTGTAAATCAACTTTGTTATTATGGACGCTTTTGGTGCTGTTCCTACTTGGATCTTCTTATGGCACGAACGTTCATCCGAATAATGAAACAAGATCAACGGCACCTGAACCTGATACTATCCGGTGTGTATTTACATGTAGCGCCTCGATACCACTCAGCAATCCATCATTCCAATTGCCGTCTAAGTGTCAGCAAGTTACTCTGCCTTTCTGCAGGGCTTCGGTGGAAATCGACTACGGCAAGCAGGAAGCGAATATTAGATTTAATGGATTTCAAACGAATGATAGTACAAACATGCAAGATATTTATTACGACATCGATCAATACTTTCGACTTTATTTCAATCCATTTAGCATGACCACACAGTTCAATTTCTTTTGTCGTTATGCAAATGACTGCGATATCTTCTATATTAGTGAAGTTTTCAATCATTTTCATCGACTTGATTATAGACCACTGCGAAGAGAACTCTCCGCTATTCTCAATAGTGGCACCACACCGTCGCAAGTAGAATGTTATAATAAGTCGCTCACTACCCCAGGTAATACCAGCTCATGTTAATACAGCGAAGAAAATTTTTCTCAGAGAACCTTTGTCCATACTTTGATTCACTTGATAGTGTAGATCAGCTGTTCGCACCTGTTTTGGACGTTTGTTCAGAGACGTGTGCTTCGATGTTGTCTTGAAATTGATGAAAAAAATTTCGATAAACTTCAAACTCGTAATTTAGGTGGGAATACTCTTCTGAGGATATCAACTTATCGAATAAGTATTGCGCTGCAACAGAAGCCACTTAAGTTTACCTGGCTGTTCCGAAAAAGTCATTTCGTAAAACTCTAAAAAGTGCACTTCTCCAAGACGTATCGATCGAAAACCGTATAAATGCGCTAATGTTCAGAAATATATCGCGTGAAAATAGTGAGAAACCGAACATATGACTATTTTTGTACGTGTTTTAGCTTCGGAAACTAATTTGATCAATTGTACAAACGGTCTCTGCGAGAGCATGTTGAACGGAGGGAAGCGACGTTGTGGTAGTCCATATTGGCCGCCTCTCAGCATGCAAACACATGTGTCATTGATTCCAAATCAACTAACTATCAATTCTTTTAATACTGATTATGAGTGCAATAGTAACAGATGTAATGGTAATGCGACGGATGATAAATTGAAATCTTTGTCTGTTAAATATCATGACTTAATGGGCGTCTATGTCCCAAAAAACTTCACAGTTTCAACGCCAAGACCAATAATAACAACGCCTCAAGCTCCACATCGACCTAAAAAGCTGGATTGAACTCAGATGAGGACATTTCTGAACAATACTATCGTACGGATAGCTTATAATTTTATGTGAACAGTGTAATTGTTTTGGTTTATTTCATTTTTACATCGAAGAGCGTCTGTGCGGCGCAAGTTCTTTTATCGATATTTTCCTACTGATTTGAAAAGAATGCTTTTATATTACAAGTAACCCTCATTCTGTGGATCCGCTGACTCTTTTCTGAAAGAAATGATACGAGTTCTATTAGTAAATCGTTCGATTACATATTGGGGGTGTGGGTGTGTAGTAAATTAAATACTCGAACCACACCCGCACTCATACCCTTAAATATATTCATTTTATTTTCATATGTAGATGTGCATCAGCTAATAAAGTAAAATTAACAAAAAGAAACACATTAATACTGATCTCAAAGATATCGGTATACTTAATAATATAGGGTTAAATTTATTCAGCAGAAACCCATCATGAAGATAGTTTTCTAAGTTTATTTTAATTGAATAAGAAAAAAATATAAGACACACATGAAATGATATAATGAAATAGTCAAAAACAATTAGATAATTACTATATGAATATAATCATTTACATGAAGGACGAGTATATCGATACTCGTAATAAGAATGTGGAATGAAACCATGTGCACTAATAGTTAGACGCCGTGGATATTTCTCGACATAATTGAAAAGAGAATGCGCTTCGGTAATTTTTTTAAAACTACCAATAAAAGAAGAACGATTCATATCTCGAGGGTGGGTGTGAAAGCGTAGAAGATGACACTCACACTCACACCTAAACAGGAGAAAATAACTTTTAAGGTCTATAAGAAATACAGTCAATATTGTTATATATTTTTCAATAAATCGTTCATCACACTGGGTATGAGGGGTGGGGGTGCGTGATAGAGTGGATAAATTAAGAAACGCACATACCCTAATAATATTTTTTTTGCGTTATAAACCATTTTTTTCTAACATTTTTGGTTCTCTTAGATAGTGGAGTTTTGTTTCACCTATTGATAACAGTCATTTATCAGTTGAAGAAGAACAAAGAAAACTAATCTTTTCGAAACATTGACGAAAAAAAGATAAAGATATCGTGTTCTATATAACAGAAGTCTTAACCGGCAAACTCATTCATTTATTTTTCTTTTATATTCAATCTTTCGAAACATTACATTTATCGTTGTTACTTCAATTCATAAGGTTAGTTGATTTTATTCTATCTTCTTGTCATCTTTATAATGAACAATATCATTTACACAAACATCTATCGAGGATGAAATGTAACTTTAGGTATTATTCGAGCTTATAGTACTCTCACACAAATTCTCAGTATAGCACGTTCGAACGAGTACGATTGAAGATGTCACTTGGTCAGAATGGTGTGATATTTTAAAAACTTCATCGTGGCAATGACAGGAATTTGATTAGATTTTAGTGTCTAGAAATAAGGCATTCTGAGTGTGGGGGTGGCACGTTAACTTTGATTTCCTTTTAAAAAGTAAAGTTACGTTAAATACTTACACTTTACTTAACTGAAGGTGTGAATGTGGGCGAAAGAGAAGACAGAAACACCCAAACCTACACACATCCACATCATCATCTTGAGGGTGGGTGTGAGTGTGGGTGTAGATGAAGAAACACCAACACCCACACCCACACCCTCACCCACCCACACCCCACACCCACACCCACACACCCACACCCTCACCCACACCCACACCCACACCCTCACTAAAAAAATCTTACTGTGATTTTACATATGAAAAGTTTACCATTTATCGAGTCAGCATACAACATGAAAAA